GTACACACGCTGCATTGCTAGATATGTGTGCATTAATTGAAGATGAATGAACTAAAATGGACTTTCAATTTTTGGGGCTAAATACAGAGAGGATGTCAATTGTTAAGTCTTACCAGTTTGCGCTGAGCTCGCTGCCACTGCTCCTTCAACTCTTTTCTGCGTTTCTCATGTTCCAAGCGTCGCATATTCACTGGCTTCAGAGAGAATGAAACAACAGTGCAAAGAGAAAGTGTAATATTTTCATGCAGTGGGCTTTTTTTTCTTTCAGTGCTGGCCAATAACACACATTTGAAACATGATGCAGTCAATAGTTTGATCTCATACCTGCATATATGTCTGCTGCTGAAGTGTCAGAGATGTGTGGAGGACTCCATGTGCATGTTCCTGGTCCTGCTCCAAAGCCACTGAATAAATCGACTGGAAAGGCAAATATGGCTATGGATGAAAGACAGCAAAAGAAAGAGTTAAAAATGATAGAGCAAGGTTAAATCAGATACATCTCAGAGTAAAGCTGACCATACACCAGTAGAATGCATTACAAAAATATTTGTTTTCAGATCGCTTGTTCAATTTTCTAATAGTTAATGGGGTCAAACTGGTAATTGATTTCGACCATAGTGACAAATTTAAAAAAATCGAAGTGGCAGGATGGAAAATTTTTCTTGAATGAACAAATTTCTAACAGTAAATGTGTTGTCTCTTTGGGAAATTTCATTCATTTTCAAAAACAAAATGTTAAAACCAAATTAAATTTCAAACGGCATTCGTCAAGTCTCTGATTGCATTATGGAATATCCTAATAGCATCTTAGTTATGAGCATTCACAATAAAATCTTCCTGTGTGTGGCTAACTTAAGAATTCACATGATGACTTTACACTGACTATTCTAAATATAATGGACATAATGACTCATAGATCACTAGATAAAGTATCATAAGCCATATCATTCTCCATTTCAATCTGTAGCATGCATGGTGATTTAGAGGAAAAAGGGTAAGCAATGTTCAAGAGGGGCTGTTTAAACCTGTTAAAGGGTAGAGCAAAGCAAATGCATGGAAGAAAATTCCAGGAAATTCAATATTATTTAATACTCACACATATTGTACACTTAAAAATCTGAGAGAAAGATGAATACTTTTATCAGAAACCTTAGATGGGCAACCCATCTGCCTGACAAGCTGAATACTAGTATGGAGGAAGTAAAGCTGGGAATAAAGCTGGTCATACACTGGTAGATTTTTGTACAAACGTTCATACGAAGAATCTCATCAGAACATTTATTAATGCTATCAGAGACTTGATGAATGTCATTCAAAATTTTTATGTGATTTTAACACTTGATTTTGGAGTTCATGGAGTTTCTCCAACACAAATCACAATCACTGATAGAATTTTATTCATTTGGGAAAAAAGTTCCATCCTGCTCCTTTTTCTTTTATGGTTGAAAAAGATCACTAATTTGTCCCCACTAGCTTTTAAAAAAATCATTCCAAAATTTTACTGGTGTATGGGCAGCTTACTCAGTGTCATCACTGACTGTGAGAATCAATCAGAGAAAGGCTGTTTAAATTAGAGGCTCCTGAGACAAGTATTTAGGTGTGGGATAGATTTGCCTGTTAAATAAAAGAAAGCTAATTATGCTACAAAAAGTCCCAGGGTCCATCAACACTTGTGTGTTTTAGTCAATGCATTCATTTTATCACAAAAAAAGGCTACACAAATCTAAATTCCATTCATTTTCATGAGGTTTACATATTTATTCAACATGGTGAGAAAAATCCTACATTAAATGCATTTTTTTGCATAGTTAGCACATCTGTACCACAGAAACTTTGAGCCTTGAAAGTTGTGCCAGTATACATAATGGTGCAATGTGCATGCCTGTCCTGGACATCCCATGCTGTCTTTTAGCCCAGCGCCTGCTCCAATCAGTAACATTCTGGTCACACAAACATTCCTGTTTAGGCAGCAAAGAAGAGGGGGGGGAGAGTGCATTTGGTCCCACTGCTTCTTATCTTGTGAGCAAACATTAGAAAACAGATATGGTTTTCTAACCTTATTATTTTGTCCCCCAAGAAAAGTAGTGTGAGGCTTTGGCGGCTACCACAAAGAAATAAGATTGTTACCTGAAATAACATTTTCATCGCTAATGTTAAAATTCCTTGTAACTAGTAATCCATTTTGTCTTTTATATCCTCAAATACCAAGTTGATTTGTCCACATATGTCAAGTGCAAAGAATTTGTTTAAATAAAGTAATATGGAATACCTGAACATTCACTACAATGGGTTCCTGTGACTCAAAGACATGATTGAAGTGTCACACAAAATGTCATTCACACCAGATATGCTGCTCAGTCCTACCATACCAGCCATTAACAATATAAATATACAATATAAATATAAAGGAAAGCGAAAAACTGACTTGTGGCCTTTGCTGGGGAAATAATTGGACAGGTTTACCAGTGTGGAGTGCAGAGCCAAACGTTCTGCAAAGCTGAGATTTACATTTGTTATGAGCAAATAGGGCACAATCGAATGTTTTCTTGTGCTGAATAAATGCAGTTGTTGGAAAATACTGCATTATGTCCACTAGATGGAGCTGAGGAGCTAAGCAAATAAATGTTTCCTATGTTTCTCAGCTCCATCTTTTGGTCATGATGTGGCATATTCCAACATTACATTAAACAAAAATGTCAGTTTCGCAAACTTTTTATCAATACACCCCTTGGTATACTTTATGGTGATGAACCAATAAACCAAATTATTTCAGTACTTCTCCTCATCACAATTATTCTCTTACCTCTTGTGTTATGGCACCTTTGGTGGTGTTCACCAGTTTCTGAAGTCCCTTGGCATACTCCATCTCTGTAGATAATGGGAATAAAAGGAAAGTTAGCCTTGTAATGACACAGTATGCAATACAATAACACTGTAAAACCTAAGAAACAAAAGAAAAAACTAGGAGAGAGTGTGCAAACTGACATAATGTGAAACACAGACATTAACATTTTTTAATTTGATATAAATGGAAGATGTATGGAGGGCAGGGGTAGGCAACCTCTGCATTCCAGGTGTGGTGAAGCTACAGGGTCCACGTGCCTCTGCCTCTGGGAGTCATGCCTGTGGTTGTCAGAGTCTTAAAATGCCTCATGGGGCTTGCAGTTCCACAACAGCTGGAGTGCCGAGGTTGACTACTTTGATGTAGGAGGTCTTATTTCAATTTATTTTAACGTTATCCCTTCTCCCCCAGCCTACCCAGGATTGTCCTCTTCTCAATGTAACTGGTCAGATCTTTCATGTATTTTGCAAGTTTTTTGGCATAGGAGAAAGCCGCTCGTACACCTCCTTCACTCTTCTGTAAGATGATGTCCACATCATCACCAAAAGGGCTTCCTGTAATCATACAACATCAATACATCATGCCACAGATATTCTCAATGGAGCTTTCAACTTCACTGTGTTGATGTAAATTATAGCTTTGCTCACCTGAATCCACATACTCTGCACTGGCCAATGTACTCTCCGCTCCAGAAAGACTACCGTATAAGCTCTCCATGGACTGTTTTGAGGTAAAAGGTTGAAAATCAAATATTGAACTAGAGTTATAGGGCCAGTAGGAGGCTAGAACTCTAACATAATTCAAATAAAACTGAATAGGTATGACATGCAACCACATAAACTACAACCATGCCTTACCTGACTCTGATCCCCGAGTGGTAAAGATAATAAGGTGCTACTGTCCACTTCTCCCATAAGGAATTCTGAGATTCTGAAATAGATATAACAAATACATGTACAATGCAAAAAATTATCCACGTTCACTACTGTATTTCCAAGAATATTTATTCCCCATATCCCTTGCAAGATCCCTACAACTCACGTGCTGCTAAAGCACACAGCCATGCTCTCCAAAGCTTTCTCAAAGTCACGCTTTTCATTTTCAATGCTTGCTTCATAGTGGAAACCTGTTATATAAAGGTTTAAGAAGGGACTGATGAAACATGATAACATGTGGAAGATTTCAAATTTTACCACATCACTGAATATTTAATGGATTCTACAACTTGTCTGGAACAATTCTGACCTTTAACTTTGGAGATGAGGGTCCCAGCTGCAGTCAGAGTCTCAACAGTGTTGAGGAGAGGATATTTGTTTATTACTTGGCGAAGGAGTCTTAGTGCTTCCCCAAGACACTCATGAGCCAGTGGACGCCGGGTTTCCTTTACCTCTGTAGGTCAAAAAAAGAAAATATATGCTCATATACAAGCTTATAGAAATAATTCTGCTTTTTTTTTAAACATATATTACTTTACAGAACATCACTTAATTTAATTAATAAGATTTGTTGTTCTCTAACCCTAAATTAATACCTAGGACTGCAAAAGCAACCACCAAGACAGAATGTATTGTAACTTTATGTATTTATTACATTTTACCACTGTATAGTCAATGCTTGACACTTCTCGACAAACTAAGAAATAAAATAAAAGGGGTTAGAGATGTGAACTATCGAGTCCTGACAAGAATTAGGGAATATGCAAATATCAATTGGACTGTTATGTAAACTGTTATGTAACTACATATCCCTTTATTCCAATGCTTGTCATTTCCATAGGGTGCACTTACTTATTCACATGAATATATACACCGATCAGCCATAACATTATGACCTCCCGCCCAATATAGAGTAGTTCCCCCGTTTGCTGCCAAAACAGCCCTGATATGTCGAGGCATGGACTCCACTAGACCTCTGAAGGTATGATGTGGTATCTGGCACCAAGCTGGCAGTAGTAGATCCTTTAAGTCCTGTAAGTTGTGAGGTGAGGCCCCCATAGATAGGACTTGTTGTTCCAGCACATCCCACAGATCGATTGGAATGAGATCTGGAGAATTTGGAGGCCAAGTCAACACCTCAAACTCATTGTTGTGTTCCTCAAATAATTCTTGAACCATTTTCTGCAGTGTGGCAGGGCGAATTATCCTGCTGCAAGAGGCCACTGTCATCAGGGAATACCATTTCCAAGGGATATACTTGGTCAGCACCAATGTTTAGGCAGGTGGTACGTGTCAAAGTAACATCCACATGAATGGCAGGACCTAAGGTTTCCCAGAAGAACATTGCCCTAAGCATCATACTGTCTCCTCGCTGGCTTGCCTTCATCCCATTGTGCATCCTGGTGCCATTTCTTTTTCAAGTACACACACGCGCCCGCCACTTCACATGATGTAAAAGAAAATGTGATTTATCAGACCAGGCCACCTTCTCCTATTGCTCCATGGTCCAGTTCTGATGCCCACGTGCCCATTGTTGGTGCTTTTGGCAGTGGACACAAGTCAGTATGGGCACCCTGACCAGTCTGTGGCTACATAGCCCCATACGCAAAAAAAACTGCAATGCACTGCGTGTTTAGACACTTTTCTATCGGAAGCAGCATTAACTTTTTCTGCAATTTGAGCTACAGTAGCTCTTTTATTGGATCAGACTACATAGGCCAGCTTTCGCTCCCCACATGCATCAGTGAGCCTTGGCCACCGCTGAACCTGTCACCAGTTCACCAGTTTTCCGTCCTTGGACCTCTTTTGGTAGGTCATGATCAGTGTAGACCGGGAACATCCCACAAGAACTGCAGTTTTGGAGTTGCTCTGACCCAGTCATCTAGCCATCACAATTTGGCCCAACTCGCTCAAATCCTTACACTAGCCAATTACATTATATAAATAAAATATTTTGTATATTTAGTATATTAAGTATCAAAAGGTCTTTTAAATCATTCTCATCACCACACCAGAATTAACCATTGTAAAATGAATAAAATCATTTAAATAGTAAAACGAAATACTAATAAATCTAAGTAACAGCACTTCCCCACAAAATTGCTTCTTTTTTCCTGTGTTACTAACATATTTATTATACTGGAATGCTTGACTTCACACCCAGCCTGCTTCTCTGCTGTGTCTCCAAACTTAGGAAAAATAATTACGGAAAACTATTACAAGCATTGGGGCGGCAGTTCACAAACTGACCCTTCACACTTCTAAATAGAGTGAAGGACAAGTTGGAACAACTCCTTGTGTGATGAGCTCCCTCAACTACCTGCCCTCTTGGAGTAGAAAAACAGCCCAATAATCCCAAGCAATTCTTGGAATCTCGCTTCTATTGAGTGATCTACAGACAGCTTAAGGCTCCATTCACAGCTCAACGTGAGCCAAGCCAGATGATTTAGAGGCATTGTTGCACATTTTCTGCGTGACTTGTAGTAAAGGAGCAAAATAGTAAATAGACTTTTTAATCTGGAGCGTCTGAATAATGCTCACAAACATGCAAGTATTTTATAGATGCTCCCATTAAAATCTATGAGGACAAAATGCACGATTCTGCCCCAAAAGATGCTCATGTACTATTTTGAGCTTTATGCAAACTAGGAACAACTGACAGTGCTCAGGTGTAAACAGGGGCAATTGAGAACAATGGGATTCTTCTTGTTGAGCGTTGTCACGCTTAGGGAAAGGAGATAAAAAACGCCTTTGTGTGAATGGGGTCACTGAGACCCTGATTTAAACTGGACAAAATGAAGAGCGGTACACTTTCGCATTTCTATACTGGGTGTTAGGGGTCCTGGCACTGACTACAACAGCGGAGGCAGGTGAGGATGCAGCTGTTCTAGGCTTAAGAATAGCTGATAGCTTCTTTTGTAACACTAGTAACTTCTCTTTAGTGTTACATTCTGTACAAATTGCAGCTGTTTTCTTTCCTTTCCGTTTAGATCACTTTGTTGCTTTGTTATTAATGATTCTAATAAGCTCAATAAGCAGAAATTTCCTACTGTATATTCCGATAACATGAAACATAGATGTTTTGATTTATTTAAAGTTTTTTCTATTTTTAGAAAGATGTGACTATTTTAAGACAGTTACTTGTTTCTTCTAGCTGTTTCCTGACCTGAATTGTAAATAGTTTTTTTCCCCAAGAAGTCCCTCTCCCTGCTCATTCTGCCAATATTCTTGTTACAATGCTGCTAAGCACTCCATTAGAAGCGTTTGAATGTGTTCAGATGGCTAAAAACAGCTGTGAGCACTGCAGAAGAGATTGGCCAATCAAGATCATATGATCGGTAAGCAAGCAGAGTGGTTCCAGCTCATGTGATGACCATGCCCACTCATGGTAAACATTGTGAAGCAGGGAGAATTTGCTACTGCAGGAAGTTTTCCAGGATATAAAGTATATGTCCACTTTTGCAGCCAAATTTGGATAACACCTACTCAATACTTGTTACCCAATCTCATTCACATAGCACGATTTAAAAAAAACGTAAAAGTTGCAACTTACCTTTTTTTAGATGATCTTTCTTCTAATTTCAGGACTGTAAAATCCTGCTTAGTTCTCACTGTCTGGGGGGTTGGGGAGAGTGTTGTTACAAATAATTGAACCTGTCTCTAGTGTGCTGGCAGATATTATTGTCAATTGTAAACTAGATGAGCAGGACTGTCTGTCCTAACAAAGCCCTGAAGACATTGCATGTTAAAGAGGGGGGTCCTGTTCTTCGTCTAACGGGGTTATTCACAAAAGGGTGAAGAGTTTGAATTGGAGAATTTTTCTACATCAGCTATGTTGTTCTAGATTGTTCACTTCTCCTGCCTTCTCCAAACTCTTCACCCTTTTGTGAATAGCCCTGTTAGTCTTTCTGTTAGGACAGTCAGAGTTTCCTGTAACTGAAATTGAGAGAGAAACTTGCAAAGGCCTGCTAAATAGAGATATCTAAAAGGTGATATTTATTTTGAATTAATTTTCCGTTATGTTGTGTGAAAAGGGACACATAATAAAAAGAGGGTGCTCAGCTTCAGGGCCAAGTTGCACCAAAGCTGGCCATACACTGTATGAATTTTAGATGGTTCTTGATAAACCAACAGAGATATATTCAGTGGGTGGACCTGTCACCCCCGTCCAGCATCCTTTAATCATAAAATCAAAGTAGCCGGATGGGAAATGTTCGGCCAAATAGTGATGGCAGCCAATCATATGCCGTCACTATTCCGGTATTCTGACAGAAGTATGCCCGTCGCTGTCAGAATACAAATGACACACCAGGAGACTTGTCCACCCATGCTGCTTAGCGTGGATGGAGAAATCTGTTATATTTTTTTTGTTCAGCCCGCAGGTTGATCTAAAAATAACAGTGTATGGCTAGCTTTAGACTAAAGTCATTATTCAATACCATAAATGGTGTCTCTCCGCACTGCAAACAGAATTCAAACCATGCAAATAATGCAAGGAGCCCATACAGCAACTAAGGTATCAGCACAATCAGAAATAGTCATGTAAATACTGGGATGCTTTCCTTCATTGTCATGTAAAATATAAATCATCATGAAAATTTGAAATTTGTCAAAGTTAAAACAAACACAAGAAATTCGGAAGGACTAGAACATTTTCATGCATTTTGAATGCAGTAGTGGTATGTGCTGTATAATGAAACAATAATTTATCTTTTAAAACTTTTTTTAGAGCATACAAATTATTAGGAATTCACCGATATATCGGCTGCCGAAACATATCGGCCGAAAATGGCACTTTTGGCATAATGCCGAAAGTGCAATTTTCTGCCCGATACAGCGGTGCATCCATTCTTTCTCTCCTCCTTGCTGGACGCTGCTCTGTGTCCCAGCCGGGAGGAGAGGACCTGTCACAGGCGGCTGAGCGCTGCAGGAGGAGAGCGCTGTGAGCGGCCAGCGTCTCTCCTCCCACACCGCTCAGCCTCCTGTGACAGATCAGAGAGCAGTGTGGGCAGAGACAGCCAGGCTGAGCACCGCTCGCTCAGCCTCCTGTGACAGCTGTCAGGAAGGAGAGCGGGGTACAAACACTCAGCGATCAGAGATTGCTGAGTGTTTATAAATGAGGACACAGTATGGTTACTGTATCCTCAATTATGAATGAATGAGAAGTGATCTACATCACCTCCTGTTCATTCATGATTGTGGTTATAGTAAACATACTCTGTTCTCATGTTATGAATGAACAGGAACACTCAGTATAGAGGATTCCTGTTAATTTATAACTGGGGCTGCAGAAAAAGAGATTGAGGGCTCTGTGTTCTCAATCTCTTTTTCTATTTTAAAAGGGAAATATCAGGGGTCTGTTTAGAGCCCCAATATTTCCCCGAAGCCCCTAAAAGTTAAGTAAAAAATAATAATATTTAACAAAAAATGAATAAATAAAAATAAATATAAAAA